TGCACTTCTTTGGCCTCACGTATATTTTCTCTTCTGTGACCTGGGTCCCCTTAGCTGTCCCACAAACCAGCAATTCTTTGAGGTGTCATAGAATACAGGTCATTAAAGAAGTTGTCCTCCAGGCTTTCTTCCTTTTCTTCACCACAGACACCCCTGAGGAACAGTGTCTGATGGTTCCAGGTCATAGCCACTGAAATGCCAGAGGTTGAGTACACTCTATACCCCATGATGCAATCTGAGTCCACACCCATTTGCCTTTCCTTCCTTCCTCGGTCTTGAGTCAGAACATATCTGAATGCAGGGTGAGTTTGTCCACCTTAGTTGACTGTTTCCAGTAGCCTCCATAGATGATTATGCTCCCCTGGGGAGTGGTGGACATTTGGCAGCCCAGTCTGGGTGCCGTCCCAATCCCTCATGGGGACAGCTTGCTCCACATGAATGTGTCCAGGTTAATGGCATACATGCCATTGTAGAGATGTAATTCCTTCTACACTCATGGAACTACTAAAAATAATTAGCTATGTCTTCCAGGCTACCATCCAATACCCACATTGACCTAAAGAATCCCCTATTGATTTGACTTACTCCTAGGTTTTGGTCATCAAATGCAGGACACTTTAAAGATCCGTGTAATAAAGAGGATCAATTCATCTGCCTCTGTATGAGCAGAGAATGACACATTCAATGTGGATGAAGGTGGGGACATGGTGTTTCTACAGTCTGTCTTGTTAGCATCTAGTGTCTAGAAATGGGCAATAAGAGCTTCAAGGTCTCCTCCTTCTGCAGTGTTTGGACACCTTCTTCTCCATTTTGGTGGCCGTCTTCTCCTTCTTGCCCATCCCGTGGCTCCAAGGAGGTGCAGGGAGCTCAAGGAGAGAACTTCACATGCAGCCCACCTGAAAACAGGTTCTCCTGAGGGCACGCCTGGCCATGCATTTCATAAAGGAAGGGAGATAGAAACATCAATGATGAGAGAGAATGATTGATCAGCTGCCCCCTACACGCCCCCTACTGAGGATCAAGTCTGCAACCAGGCATGTGCCCTAACTGGGAATTGAACAGAAACCTCCTGGTTCATAGGTCAATGCTCAACCACTGAGCTACATGGCTGGGCTGGCCATGCATTTGTAAAGACAAATTTCAGAGGAGTTGTCCTTATCCCCTCAAATAATAAAGTTTTTAACAACTTCCTAACCTTCACCTTGTTTGGACCTAAAACTGCCTTCAATGTTTGTCTTAGAATGTATGAAAGCAAGCAACATACGACTGTGTGTGTGTGTGTATGTGTGTGTGTGTGTGTGCGTGTGTGTGTCTGTCTGTCTGTGTTCCAGTGTGCAGTGTTTATTCTGTTGTCTGCATATTTATAAATTTCTTCTGTGACACACCGTGCATTTCTACAAGGTGAAGTCTGCATCTGTCATGATTATTGTGTGCAATATCTACCAGCAGCATATGTCCCTAATCAGAAAGGTTAGCAGAGATGAAGATAACAATGTTGACAATCACTGGATAGGCTGTCTTTTAAATACAATCTAGACTGAGTCAGAAGACTAAATGAACTCAGACAAGATATTTTAGGTTCAAGATATTGGATTCTAGGCCATAGTGAATTTATTTAAAACAATGAACTATACTTTGACAAAAGACTTCTAACTTTATAGAATTGCCGTGATAGTCTGTGGTTTTCCCTCTGGTCCTTTCTCTTCCTAACCCATGTCTTGAAAGCTCTTTGGAAGAAAATTGCCGAGATCCCATTTGCTGGTGGTTACTAAGATATTTATCTGTCAAAAGAAGAATTTTTTCTTATAAAATACCTAGATGTTCTGGGCTTCTTTTCTATTTATTCTTGTGATGACTGTCAATATTTTAAAAAATTCAATCATTCCTCCTATTTTACTGGTATCACTTCTGAAATAACCTATTTTTTGCTGCTACTGTTGCTGCTATTTATCTCACTCGTAGAAGCCATGAGGATGTTATAAAATCATACAATGGAAACAAATAATTGGATTACATTGGAATCAAGAGGGTTTTCACAATAAAGCCCCATAATTTAATTACCCCATGCTTTACCTAATTCCTGTTTCCTCTTCCCATTTATTTTTATTAAGTGAATGTTTCCTTTTTGGTATGTATGTCTATTAACATTCTATTCCTATTTTCTGTGACATCCTGAATTCTGTAGCTGAAATATGTGTCTGAGATAAAGCTATTTCGTCTCTATCTCACTATTCCAGGCTTAGGGCAGGGATGGGGCAAACTAGCAATATAGAAAGTAAATTGATTTAGCCCGTCACCATTACATGCATTCATGATACAAGTTGGTTATTTGTGCTACATGGTTTGTGTGTAAAGCAGATCTCTAAAATAAAAGCAAACTTGCTAAATAAGAAGGCATATTCATTTTTTCCTTTTTACTGCAGCTTTATTGAGGTATGAACCTTTACAATAAAAGGCTAATATGCAAATTGTGCCCTCAACCCAGAGTTCGACCAAGGGGCAGTGCTGACCGGCTAACCACCTGCAGCCCCTCCCCTGGCCTGTCTGGTCTGATCGGCCCTGATTGGGGTGGGCCAGCCAGACCCTATTCGTGCACAAATTTGTGCACTGGGCCTCTAGTTAATAATAATATTGTATGTATTTAAGGTATTCAGCCTGATGTTTTGATTATACATATGCATTGTGAAATGATTACCACAATCAAGAAATTAACATATACATCAGCTCACATACTGAGTGGTGAAAATCCTTAAGACCTCAGCAAATTTGAGTTTAGTATTATTAACTATAATCACTATGCTGTCCATCAGGCTTCCAGAACTTATTCATTCTGCCTAACTGAAATTTAGGTCACAATTATTTTAATTTTAACAGATTATGTTATCTTTCACTTTCCAAAACATATTCAAGTGCTTATTGCTATCTTACATTTCATTGACCCTCACCCCCACCCCAGTTTAAGGAGTAAACCTTTGCCCAGTTGCTCAATTATTTTTTAGCTAAATTGTCTGAACTATGTCTCAAATTGATTGTTTACAGTTCTCTAATATACTATCAGAACCAATCCACAATGTCTTCAATATCACTTTACCTCATTCTTATCTCTAAAGTTTAAGCCTGCCATCCATCCATTATCCTCCATATTCTTATCCTCATCCTTCTTTTTTTCATCCTTTAAATTGAATTAATTTCCTACCTACCTTCTGTACCCTCCCAAGGTCTCCTACCATGGCCTCTGGAACTCATAACCCATCATTTAGCCAACTCCCTATAAACTCAGCCTGGTCTATGGCTACTCCTGTATCTTCTTGCCCTGATTAAAACAGTTATTCCCTCAGGATTCCAACCCCTCTCTGACTCTTTTACAGAGAAACTGACATTCTGCTAAATCAGAAGCTGGGAGGGAGGTGTCCAGGTGGATGCCCTCCCTGTTGCCCATTGCAGCATCCAGATCACTTCGACTCCTTTCTCTATCAAAACCCAATTCACGCCTGGCCATTGTGGCTCCCTGGTTATGACTGACTAGAGGCCTGGTGCACAAAAAATGTGCATGAGGGAGGGGTACCCTCAGCCCATCCTGCACCCTCTCCAATCTGGGACTCCTTGGGGGATGTCTGACTAACCCAGCAGTCGGACATCCCTCTCACAATCCTGGACTGCTGGCTCCTAATTGCTCACCTGCCTGCCTGCCTGCCTGCTTGCCCCTAACTGCCCCCCCCCATCCCGGCCTGATCGCCCCTCACTGCCTCTGTGTGCCAGCCTGATTGCCCCCAACTGCCCCTTTCCTACCTGCCTGGTTGCCCCCAGTTGTTCCCCTGCTGGCCTAGTTTCCCCTCACTGCCCTTCCTGTTGGCCTAATTGCCCCCAACTGCCCCCTCTGCTTGCCTGGTCACTCCACCCCCACATAGCCTGCTTGTTCAGTTGTTTGGTCATCCCTCACTAACCCCCCTGCTGGCCTGGTTGTAGGCAGCCTTCTTGTGAGGGTGTGAGGGTTAATTTGCATATTATCTCTTTATTATATATGATTCCCAGTCAGGGCACAAACCCAGATTGAGGGCTTGATCCCCAGTTATGGGAGTGCAGGAAGCAGCTGATCAATGATTCTCCCTCATCATTGATATTTCTATCTCTCTCTCTCTCCCTCTTCCTACCTCTCTTAAATCAATAAAAATTATATTTTGTAAAAAACAATCCACATTTGAAATTCCTATTTCAGACTATACCATGGAAACTGTTGTTGCCATCACATTCTCAACATCCTTGTCACTCTGGACCTTTATACCTTACTCACAGTCTTCCTCTCCACCATTGTTCCCTCTCAGACACTTCAGTGTCCACTGATTGAACAACCCAAGCCAGTCTGCAGTGCCCTCTTATTTCACTCTACCTGGGAAATTTAGGTTTGCTGAAGATAGGCAGCCAACCTGCATTTTGAGCATACAGGCTAGATGGAACTCCTTTGATTGTATTAATTTGTTCTGTAATTCAACTTAGAACAAGGAAAATTACATTTTTCTAAGGGTGTATTTCTTTCTTTATTTATTTTATTTATTGATCTTAGAGAAAAAAGGAGGGGGTAAGAGAGAAGAGAGGAGAGACAGAAACATTTGTTGTTCCACTTCTTTATGCATTTACTGGTTGATTCTTGTATGTGCCCTGAGTGGGGATCGAACCCCCAACCTTAGTGTATCAAGATGATGCTATAACAAACTGAGCTAACTGGCTAGGGCTAAAAATGTATTTCTTAACTTAGTTTTAGTCCCCAAAGTCTGAGATATATGGGACCTCAGAGCCTGAGAGTCACTTTCAGATCCATCCTTAATGTCATCCCAAACAATCCTCTTTCTGGCCCTCCTGGCCCTCGCATGAGCTTTCTGCAGACCTGTGCTGTAGCAGTCCTCCTTTCCTCTCCTGCCAAAACTTCTTTTCCACTGCCTTTCCTCCTCAGTGCTTCTCTGCCATAGAAAGACAGCAAGAGAAGCTGGAGGCTGAGTGAGTGAGAAAAACCAGGCTGTGACTTCCCAAGGATTTTTGTCAAAGATGAAAGTATCAAAATGTGCCAGATACAAATGGTGCTTTAAAGCAGGAACATATGTTTCACTTCAGAAAAGTGAAAAACCACAGAGGATTATTTTCTTCTATTATAGTCTCTCCCCTTCTCCTTGTTTTGAGATGAAGGGGACACCAAATAGACAGCCTCAGATCCACTTCTCACTGTTTTGTGTCGTCTATTACTTTCCTAAAATTTGAAAAATTCAGAATTCTGAAATAGATCTGGCCCCAAATATTGAGAATTGCTACCTTCCCTGCTACCATTGCCTTCAGACTTGATTCTAAATAGCCTCCCAAGTGCTTTCCCTCCTCCCTGCCTGCTGGTCTCCAGTCTGTCCTTATTACTGCAGCCAGAGTCCCAGTGAAAATCCAAGTCAAATCAAGCAACTTCTTTGTTCAAAACCCTCCAGTGGGTCAGAGCCATGGTTCCTTCAGGGGCTCACAGAGTCCTCCATGCTCTGCCCCCACCTTGCTGCTCCCTGAACAGGCCTGGGATGAACACGACACTCCTGCCTCAGGGCCTGTGCACTCGCTCTTTCCTGTTTCTGTTATGCTTTTCCGCCCGATGACTGAAGTCTCGCTCCCTCATATAGGTCAGTCTGTGATTCAAATGGCACCTTCTTAGTGAAGCTTTCACTTAAATTTTTTTCTAACATCGTGCCCTCCACCAGTGATCTGTTTGTAATGGCTTCTCATTCCTCAACAGGGTGGACTAAGCGCTCAAGCTTTTGTTCGTGTGGATGTGGAGGACGTGAATGATAATGAACCTGTGTTTAACCCGCCCACCTATGTGCTGAGCATTAGTGGCCAGACCCAGCCAGGAACCGAGATCATCAATGTCCTTGCCACCGACAGGGATTCTGGGGTATACGGAACAGTGGCTTACGAGCTCATCCCCAGTGACCTGTCCTCCCTTTTTACCATCGACTCTACCACAGGTATGTGATCCTGGAACAGTCTGCCTCTGGAATCAACGTCTTCTGTGAAACAGCCAGAAAATGAACAAGAGTGATTTCTTTTATTAGCAGGGATGTTGCAAGACTCATGTCACCTGCCAAATGGCAGTGAGGTGTATTGAGAAGAGCAAGGGCTTTGTAGTTCGGTTATACTTGGATCTCAGTCCCAGCTTATGATTTTCACTGGCCCTACTCTCCTTATTTAAAAAAAGTAGTGCTAATGATCCCTATGTTGCCAAGTTTTTGTGAGGATTAAAGGCAATAATTTAGGAGAAACAACTAGCCAATATGTTTCTTCCTCGTATGCCATCTAAGGGTGACTTGCGTGATTTCAGGGTGCTAATCATATTAGTGCTAAGAGCCTTACACAGACATCCTTTTCTAACACTAGGTCTCGAATTCCCTTAATCTCTTTGCTTAGTTTCCTTGTTTTTTTTAAATACCTAAAGCTCCTTTTAGTTCTCTAATACAACAATTGTGCATCTGCCAAAGAAGTCCGATGAGCAAACTGAGTTTTTTAGAAACAGTCATTATTTAAGTTGGTACCCTTCCCTTCCTATTGGATTCTTATTAACAAAATAATATTTGAAGTAATTATTTCTAGAAAACATAAAATTACAAGTATAATACATTATAATACTTTTGCGATATTAGAGATAGTCTGGTCTAATTTTTTTTTCTTTTACCTTTTTTCTTAAAATTTTTTTTTACATTTTTTTTATTTTGTAGTAAGAACACTTAAAATGAGATCTGCCCTCTTAACAAATTTTTAGGTGCACAATCCTTTATTGTCGACTGTAGGTACAGTGTTGGACAGCAGATCTCTAGAATTTATTCCGAAACTTAAGTGAAACTTTGTTCCCACTTTTTAGCAATTTCCCATTTCTCCCTCCCTGTCATCTCCTGGCAACTACAATTCTACTCTTTGATTCTAGGAGTTTGACTATTTCAGATACCTCATCTAAGTGGGATAGACATTTGTCCTGTTACTAGCTTATTTCACTTCAGATAATGTCCTCCAAGTTCATTCATGATGGCACTTCCTTCTTTTTAAAAGCTAAGTAATATTCCATTGTGTACCTATCATGTTTTGTTTATTCATCCGCTGATTGACATTTAGGTTGTTTCCACAGCTTGACTATTGTGAACAGGCTTCAGTGAACATGGGAGTGCAGCTAACTCTTTGCGATTATGTTTCTTCTTAAAGCCCCCGATCTGAGCATGGGCAGAATGAGTATCTATTGCAGCCGTGGGGAAACTATGGCCCACGGGCCGGATCCGGCCTGTTTGAAATGAATAAAACTATTGAAAAAAAAGACCGTACCCTTTTATGTAATGATGTTTACTTTGAATTTATATTAGTTCACACAAACACTCCATCTATGCTTTTGTTCCAGCCCTCCGGTCCAGTTTAAGAACCCATTGTGGCCCTCGAGTCAAAAAGTTTGCCCACCTCTGATCTATTGTGATGGTGATGATAATGTCAGATGCCCTGGTAGGCATGCTCTGTACATTGTCCTATTGGATCTTTACAACACTCTTTGCAACAACCATATTCATTAGCAACAAATAGTATTTTACACGGGACATCTAATCTGCCAAGTTAGTTTGCCTTCTCACCCAGCCTCAGGTAGAGAGCCACTGCTTCTTGCCAGGAAAGTGTACTTTATCTGGAGTGTGTGGCTGCTGGGGGATTCACTATTTACAATGACAGTCTTTATAAGGCAGAACTTTCCTTGCTCAAAATAACCCACTGATGTGGCCCCTTTGACATTTAAAAGGTCAGAAGAACATACTGTTTTAGGATATTGGTCTGCTTATCTTGGCTTTCTCAAAATTCCTCTAAACTGAGGACCTTAAATGCTTGTCAAAATGCCAGACCCTGTAGGACAATAGCAGTTCCTAATTATATAGGTCAGCCAGTAATCGGGGCACAGCATCAAGAAGCATTCAGCAGATTGTTTTTAGAAGACATCAACACACTCATCATCTAGTTTCCCCTGGAAGATCTTGAAGAAGGAGCTGTGCAGTACCCTATTTTTAGAAAAGATCTCTGTTGTGCTGGCTTCAGTCAGCCACAGGCTCCCATTCCTGGCACTGGGTACAAGACAAATGCCATTGTTAATCACGGAGAACACTTTATGTGAGTCATTATCTAGGGAGGTATCATGGTTTTGCTTTGTTTTTTTTTTTTAAAAGGAAAACCAATTTTGTAATGGAAGTGGCTTTGGGTTATTGTTGGCCGGTGCCTATATTATTTTCGTGTCAGGGCATTTAAGTTGAAGACATTTATCAGTGTAACAGTACTTGGAATTTAGTTGCACTTAATCAGAACTCATGAGAAATTCATGAAAGCTGGTAATGCTTTGCTTTAACCTTTAGAAGAGAATTGAAAAGCATCACGACTAACTCTGGGGAAAAGGTTGCCCAGTGTACTGGAAGTCTTCAATTTGAACAGTTGCATTCAAGTTCATCTGTTGGTTGACTGCCACCCCACATACATTTTCTAAATTGCACATAATAGACTTCCAGGCCATGCCATTAAAGGTCATCTAACTATCGATGTAATCAAAGAATTGAACAAGAAGTAGTTTGGAATATGGTTTTTTCCTTCTTCATCTGTGCTTTTGTTGTAACCTATAGGAAGCTGCTCCTTCTTGCTTCCCCTTTAAGGCCTCTCTCTACAGAAGCTGCCAGTGCAAACACAGTCTCAAGGAATTGCCTTTAGCCATACATTTGTGGAATAAAAAAAACAAGTGACATTTAGAAATAATTGAAAATTTATTTAAATCCTTATTACATTCTCATAAGAAATTGCAAGGGAGTGTCATTGATAATACAGAGCAAAACTTCATTTAAACTCTCTTCCCTCATCACAGCTTGGTAGGGGATTTGTGGCCTGCTTCACTTTTCTTCAAAACTAACCCAAACTTTCTCGTTTCCTCTCTAGCTTATCTGTGCTAGCTGGCACTTTTCCAGATTTATGTACTAAATAAATATATAGACTGTATATACAGGGTATGGCAAAAGTAGGTTTATAGTTGAAGTATGTGAAACAGAGTTTATTCTGGTATTATTATTTATTAATTACTAGAGGCCTGATGCATGAAATTCGTGTGAGGGTAGGCCTTCACAGCCGGGGTGGCTGCCTCGATCCCTCCCTCGTAGCCAGGGTGACTGCCTTGATCCATGGCTGCAGCCCGGCTTCTTCTGGAAGGTCATCTGGAAGGACGTACGGATAGCCTTTTAGTCGATTTGCATATTACACTTTTATTATTATGGATTGTATTATTTTCCATATGAATAACTATAACCAATTTTGCCCCCACCTTGTATGTATACATAATTATATAATTATATAGATTATAGTTTTTATATAGTTGATTATACAATTGTACAGTTTTATAGTTATATACAGTCATATTGCATGAGGGCAATATTGAGAATTGATTAGCACATTTCTGCATTGTCACTTCTTCCTGAGTTACTCTAAAATTCTCTCTTTGAGACATTAATTTGCCCACTGGTCCATTCGCCCTTTCATTTTGATGCTTCCTATATCAGACGTGCTATTCTATAAGCTTACATAGTGTGTTATTAGGCTCGTGTTTTCCTGAAGACAAGAGATTTTTCCATTGACCTATTTGTGCCACAACCAAGACTCATGCATTAAAAATAGAGCTCCGTGATTATTGTGTTCATCTGGTAAGAGCAATGTTTTGAAGAAAACTGAAGGGGAGTGGGTGTGGCAATGTCATGGTTGTTTTCTCTTGTGGGTTTATCTTCCTGGTCTGTTTCTGGTTTTCTAAGTGTGTTGTTAATTCAAAGAATATTTTTGTAAAATGTGTTTAGGCACAGGAGAGAGATACTGAATTGAGCCTTCATTTCTCTTATTCTCAGTTAGTCGTGCTGCTTTGATGTGGCCACGAGGTAGACCACAGTGTTTTGAGTTTTAAAAGAAGGAAATACAGAGACACATTTATTAATAGCTCTTTTTCATGTATTTTTAATCCTATTTAATGAACTGTATGTAGATTTTTTCTACATTGTTTGAAGTATCCCTTTAGTAGCATTAAAAAAAACAGTTCTTTAGCCTTTCTGTTTGTGGTATTTATTTAGTCATTTTCCGCTGAAACAAACATAACTTCTAATTCAGATTATTTTAAGGTGACAGAGATTACAAGCATTTGTTTTTGCAGAGTAGTTGAGCAACAATAAATTATGCTTCCTTGCCCATCATCTGCTCTGTGTTTAGTTATGACATATACAAAATCCAAGTTTAGCACTACAGAACAAATAATTAAAAGGGTAACAGAGTGAATTAAACTGCCAGCCAAGGGCAGCTGTGCCTCCATGTTTAGCTTCCGTGTTGCTCGGGTGTATGGATTTTAACAGGGACTGTAAGTAATGTAGCACAGACTCTGTTTTTCATGATTTCAAGGGCAGATTCTTTTCTAATGTTAGTTTTATGCTCAGATTTGATACCATGTAATGATTCTCATAATTCTTCATGATTGCCACTTTTCTACATATAGAACATTCTGATATGTAGCTAATAAATTAATACCACATCTCATTTCATAAGGGATGTGAGCCTGCTCACGCCAAAACATTCTTTCTTTTATTTGCAAGACAGAATCTAAAATTAATCACAGGCACCTAACCAGTGTATGCCACTTTTATAGGAAACAAAAGCATGTTGGAGAGTTTTCTCATTCATTTTTTCAATATAACATCACTGACTCTTGGAGATGAAAGGGGCCTTACAATTTAGCTCCCTCATTGAGTGGAGAAAGAAATTGAGGCAGAAAGGGATTCAGTGTCTTGCCTAAAGTGCATGGTCGATAATATGGCAGACCTGAACTTGAACCATGTATAAGTTTGTTATAAATTTGGATAATTGTTTTCTCCGTCAATATCAGATAGAAATTTGAATCCATTCTATTCCTGTCAGCCGCTACAACTTAGTTAACCCCGATTCGTGTGCAAAACAAATAGCATAATGTCATCTATTTGGTAAATAAGTTTTTATATTCTCACAAACTGAATATAGGAAAATTATCATAAATATCAATAACCACTAAGAAAGTAGTACTGATACCCCATCGTTTTTGTCCTATTTTTTGAGAAAACCACACTTATGGACTTCATGTTTGGTGAAGGTTATGACCTCGTGCTTGTTTTTGTTTTTAACTATTCATAGCTTACAATTTTAGTAATGACCTACAGATTATTTTCTAAGTAGGAATTACCATGTTGGTTAAGAACATCCCATCTTTTGCGGGAGGTTTGATTATGAAAGTAAGTATTGCTTAATTAGTAGAACATGATTTTATATATACTGTATATTAAATTTAATTAAGAGGACCTTTGTATTTAAGTGCTTTTATTAGTCAACCAATTAAAATAAATTTATTCCAGCAGTTTCCTCTTTTCAATAAAAAGTGACAAACTAAAGATAATAGCCAAACATTATTGCACATTAAAATTAGTATGCATAAACCCACACACCCAGTAATTAAAACATAAAATAATCAGTGATCTGTATATGAATCTGTGTCTGTTTTAAAGTTAAAGTTGGTTCCCTGAATGGATGACTAATGAAAAAACTGAGAGCCAATTAATCACTGTGCGTTGAAGTATTAAAATATAGTGTCATAAACTTAAAGCTGACAAAATATATAGGCAGAGAACTATTTCTTTTATTTACTACTTCATTATTATATATATTATGCATATTTATATGTAATATATATTATAGAGCTTCATTTTCTGGCTCCTCAACTTTAATAGACAGCTCAGTTTAAGAATGTTGGATTCAAGTAAATAAGTTTTCTAGCTTACTCTTTATATTCAAATGTAAGAAAAAGTGAATGTTTTGAAATATTCAGCATATGTAAGGACAAGCTTAATCTTAATACTTCCCTCTTCTAAGTGGTGAGTGTTCAAAGAAAGTCACTGGTTCCTTCCTGGTCTCTAGTAGGAATTGTTTTACTATACAACATTGACTTTAAAGGCCAACTAAAGTAACCATTGGCTCGGAAGAAGCCTAGTAAAATGTATATATAGGCATTAAATGAACCGTGTTTAAGTATAAAAAGACAGATTTGGCCATTTCTCTCCCCTGCCTAAATCTTTAATGACTTCCTATGGATTTTTGGCTGAAGACCAAATCCTTGTTATGGTCAAACCAGGCCCTTCAGGATCTGCCTGCTCTCCTGTGTGTCATTATCTCCAACAACTCCTTCCTTAATCTCTGTGCCCCTTCCTTATACCAACTTCTTCTCCTCCTCCTTTCTCCCTCTTCTTCCTCCTCTTCCTCCTTTTTTATGCCATCTTCCTTCTGCAAGCACATTACATTATTTTTCTTCTGCTGAGATCAGTTGATTGTTCCCTCTCCTCTCCTCTTCCCATCTTTACATCTTCGCCTAGTTAATGACCTAAGTCATCCTTCAGGTCTCACTTTATGAAGGATTGCCGAAGGAGGTACTGGAAACCAATACCTTTATATCCAAATTACTAAATTGAGACTGTTTTGTGACTTAAAGTAACAAAAAGAATTTTAATTGGTTGATAGTGATTTTGGAAATTGTAGGAGCATCCTGAATTTTGACTTAGGGGGAGGGGAACAGCCATTTGCACAAAAAATATAAATTTCAATAAAAGCGAAAAATAGTCTCTCTATGATTGCATTCCATGAGCTTTGCTTTGTATCATACTTGTTATCCATATTTATGACAGCCAGAGGTGATCATGTCTGAAGTGGAGAAATGGGCTACATAATGGTGAAGCTACATTAAGTGGGGTGGCTTATGAAGGAACTTAAAAGCATGACAGAGAAGCTTAAACTTAATTATTACAGGAAATGAGGAATGACATAGGGTTTTGAACACTAGCACATTATGGTGAACATGACATTTAAGGAAAATTACCCTGGCAGCACTGTACTAGGTGAATTATAGGACTAGAAGAGTTGACCAGGAAATATAAATTAGTTAACAGAGACTATATATTAATATATTATTATGATCTAGGGATAATGTTATGAAGTTTATACTAAGGAGATAGTAATAAAAACAGAGAGGAAGGAACTAATTGAGGATATTTAAAGAGGAAAATAATACAAGAATAGTGACTGGTTTATAATGAAAGATGATGAGTCACACACAGTTTCTTAATTTTAACTAAGATGATTATTGGTCCAACTGATGTCAAACTGATAAATACCCCAGAAGAATTGCCACCTAGAAAGAGGCAAAGAACTATAATTCAGGTGGGAAGACATGGGAGATACTAGGTTGAAGAACATATAAATATTTTGCAGGCGAGAGTATACAGAAGTGGTTTTTAAACTTTAGAGTAAATAAAAATTACTGGTGAAGCCTTTAAAAAATAATCTAGAAATCAGAATATCTGCATAAGAACCTGAAAATTTTGAGTTTACAAGTATCCATGGTGATTGGATGCAGGTGGTCAGGAAACACCCTTTGAGACCCTCCAGTGAATAGAACAAAGAAATGCTTAGAACAGAGAAATGCTTGGAAGTGTAAGGAGGAGGAAGTTTGAGGAGGAGATAGAAATCCCAGGAATTTTTAGAAAAGCAAAAACAAACAAAACAAAAAACTATCATATAACCAAAAAAAAAAAGTTCAAAAGCAAGAGGATAGCATGTGTCAGATAGATTGTAGACGTTAAGGAGCATGAGGTTGGTGTTAACATCTAATTGCCTATCTTTCACTTGCATCTGTCTGTATCCTCTTCTTGCAGGTGTGTTTCTCATAAATATATGTTTGGATTTATCTTGAAATTCATTCCAATAAATTTTGTCTTTTATGTAGAGCACTTTGTCCATTTATGTTTTCTGAATTCTTTCCCAATCATAGTCTGCTATTGATATTCGGTCTCATTCATGTTACACACATGTGTAAAGATATGTGCATATATACATATATACAAATATATGTGTATATGTGTGTGTGTGTGTTTAAAATACATTAATGCAGACACCTAGTGTGAAGGCCTTACCTCTAAGAGTGCTATGAAATGCAACATGGAGAAATAAGATAATGAGCATTTTCTTTTCAAACCTAGTGAAAAACTGAGATTGGAAGAATTTACCTTGCATGGTCAGGCACTGTTTTAAAAGGCTTGGAAAACAGTTTTTTACGTTTTAAATTTTATTTTATTGATCTTAGAGAGATGACGGGGAGGAGGGAGGGAGAGGGAGAGAGAGAGAGAAATATCGGTTGGTTGACTACTGCATGCACCCTGACTGGGAATTGAGCCCAGTCAGTATATGGGATGATACTCCAACCAACGGTGCCACTGGGGCAGGACTGGGAAATTTTTTTTTCTTAACAAGGCCCTTCCCTATGAGAAATGGGACTCCTGACCCTCCCTCCAATAAATTCATTCTCTGAATGATGACTATATATGCAAGATTCTAAGCTAAGCACTCTTTATAGTAGTTAACATTGGTGTAGTGCTTCGACATTGACATGTAACATTGAAGTGTGTTGTTTCCGGCTCATCTCTGTCATTTTTTACTAATCGACTTTGTTGACATTACATCTGGGTGAGTGATATGGTATCCGGGCCCAACAAATGCAACACCGTTTATGTTTTTCTGTTGAATTGACTTAGTTTCAAGATGCCCAGTATTTAAGCTCTAGGAAAATGTTATTTACTTACTTGTCAGATTTTGGAGCATCATTTTGCAAATATACTTAAGTCTTTGTTTGGAAAGTGGATATATTAGGGTTCTCCAGAGAAATGAAACCAATAGGAGCTCTATATCTGTATCTATATCTACGTTTATATCTATCTCTACCTAGAAACACTCTTACACAGATACACAGAATAATGTTTGACCAAATACCTGGGCACTCCATGGCCCAATCAAGTTGGTATAAAACGAACCATCACAGAAGTATCAACAGATCAGATGTTCGATTGCTCATCAGTATTTATTGCACGTTATCTGTGTCTTAATTCTTTCTTTCCCTTCCCCAGGAATTATTTACTTAACATCAACTCTTGGGCATTTGGAATCTACTACGCTTCTGTTGATGGTTTGTGCTCGAGATGGTGGCGGGCTCACATCTGTCGTTAATGCCGATGTCACTATACACATTCTTCAGACAACTCTGGCACCTGCTGAATTTGAAAGGCCTAAGTACACTTTCTCGGTTTATGAAGATGTACCCGAAGACAGTCCTGTCGGAATAGTGAAAGCAAAAGAGTCCTTGAGTAAGTACTTCTTATCCTGCATTGAAATTGATTGTTGGCGCATTTCCTGTGTTTTCTTAGGCTGTACAGTCTTATATTAAATCTTTTCTTCTCTCCATGCAAGAAGAGTGGAGACCACACAATCTGTGTCTTGATCATTGGTCTTCAACATTATTTCTATCCTACAATTTTTTTTCTAATCAGAAAAGCAATAGGTACTTTTAAAGGAAAGTTTTAAACAAAAAAAACTCAATGTAAACAACATACATCTCCATATCCCACTGCCCAACACACATACACACACACACACACACACATACACACATGCTTCCAACATTTTTTACAAAAACGTATCCTAATATCTTTGTTGTCTTACAACTATCTTTTCTTTCTACTGTATAATTTCTATGTATTTTTTCTACCATATATATTTTTTCCTACTCTGTACTGCACAACTTTACAGGTAACTGTATATCATTTTGTTTCATGATACAAAGTTTGAATGGTTTTATGAAACATTTCTCTGTCGCTATGAATTTGAATGATTTACAGTATTTTGCTAGTCTGCATAGTACTCAAGCAATGTCCTTGTGAGACTTGTAGAAGTTTCTCTGCAGGAGAAATTCCTAGAAAAGAATCATTTGTTCACAGGCCTTGCCCTCCCCTACTCCTAGCTCCCTCCTTTCCCTTCCTCTGTCCCTTCCCACAACTTTTGTGGAGGATATTTGCCGTTCATAGGTAGATATTATAGAAAAATATCAACATAAACTTAACTTGGCTCCCTCAAATATACTTAAAAGGCATTCAAATCATTTTCTGAATGTCTTCTCCTTTTAACTAATGCAAGAGGAATGATGACCGATAGTGAGCCTGTGCCTGGCTTTGTGTCCATTGGACACTAGCATTATCCACTAAAGCATCTTAAACCATATGTTCACTTTTCAACAGACTTTGGAGAGCTGAGGAAGATGTAAGATGTTGCATAGTATTCTCTGTAGATGTAGTATACATTAATATGTTCAGAGTTCAGTGTTTCCACAGGTACATTCTTTTGACATACAGGGGTTGCTCTATTTTTTATTCTTTCTTTTTATTCAGATTCCTCAGAGCCAATTTTTTACAGGATCTCCTCTGGCGATCTGCATGGAACATTCTCTATCCACCCGTGGCTGGGTACCATTCGAACCCGGAAGCCTCTGGATCATGAAACGCAGCCCATGGTGGTGCTCACGGTCCAGGCGCAGCTTGGCAGCTCCCCCGCTTGCGGCAGCACGGAGGTCAACGTAACTGTAATCGATGTCAACGACAACCATCCAGTGTTTCCCAAAGCCTCGGACGAGGTCAAAGTGTCGCAGATCACACTGCCCGGCACAGCCCTGTACCGCGCACGTGCAGAAGACAAGGACAGTGGTTGGAATGGATTCGTCCGATACTCCATTGCAAGCCAGAATCCAGGCATCTTTTCCATTGACTCGGGGCTGGGCGTGGTGTACCTCAATGCCAGCCTGGGCGCTGCTGTGGCCCAGAAGCACACACTAACTCTCATTGCCCAGGACCTCGGTGTTCCTCCTCTAGCATCCTTGTTCCTGCTTACAATAGTTATCGAAAAACAAGAATCGAGCCCATCCTTGATTTTTGGAAATTTGGTCTATCAAGTCGAAGTTAGTGAGTCTCTCTCACTGATGACCCAGATACTGCAAGTACAGGCCTACCTGCTTGGCCCACAGCACAAAGCCTCCCAGCTTCTTTACTCGCTGGAACCCGGTGCAGACTCTGCCGTGTTCGCTGTTCACCCTTACACAGGTTGGATTTATCTGCGGCGACAGCTTGACTATGAATCCACCCAAACATATCATTTAAGTGTGTTTGCCTGGATCCCGGAGGACAGATTGTCACAAAATGTGAGCACTTCAGTAATTGTTCATGTCCTGGATGAGAATGACAATTCCCCTACCTTCTTGCATGATGTGTTGTTTTTGAAAGTGGAAGAGAGCCCCCTGCCCCAAGGGGTAATAGGCAAAATTACAGCAATTGACAGAGACTCGGGAAAGAACGGACAGCTGTCATATTTCCTTCTGTCTGATGGAAAATTCTTCAAGATGAATCCTCATACAGGTAGCATTTTGTAGCTTCCCCTTATTCCTTTAAAATTGGAATTGACAAAACCCTAATCTTTTAGTTATCACATTAGTGCAAACATATAATTAAAATTATAGTCTTTAGTGTATACCTTATTTCTTACAGTTCTGTGATTTTATTTCTAATGATTCATACTTCTCATGCCTCTCACCCACATCCTATATAATAAAAGGGTAATATGCAAATTGACTCTAATGGCAGAATGATTAGAATGACTGCTGGACCAGTCACTATGAGGCATACTGACCACCTCTTGGTCCCCCCCGCTCCCCCCCCCCCGCCGTCCGC